GGGGGGGGGGGGGGGGGGGGGGGGGGGGGGGGGGGGGGGGGGGGGGGGGGGTTTCGGTAAGGGCAGGTCCCAGGATGCAGTGTCAACCTGCCCTCCCGTGGGAGATGGGCGAGGGGGTAATACAGAACAGCTGAGATTACAAACCGGGCTCAAGACCGGGTCAGCCCATCGATTTCAGCACTTGCAAAACACATGCAAAGATAAATCAGAGTTTTGGACTCAGTCATTCTGTCTGCCTTGGCGGTGGCGTCCGTTTTTTTTATTTTTTTATTTTTAGAGTCACTTTCACAGGTAGGGACGGAGCCGAAAACTGAGAGCGTCATACCCTCGGGTAAGTCGTTGTACCGCCGTGGCGGGTCCAACACTCCTGCTCTCACGCCGATAGAAAAGATTGTTTGGACGCCTTCAAAGGAAAAAAAAAGAGTTGGTACATCGAAGGGGGACGAAGCGACGGTGGAGAGGAGGGGAAGAAATGCTGCAAGTAAGGCAAAGACGGATGATTTACATTTTAGTCAGAGGAAGAAAAAAAGTTTAAAAAAAAATAAAACATGCGCAGATGTTCAAACTTTTCAGACGCCATGGAGGAGTTGATGCAGAAAAAGAAAACCCTCCGAAGAGCTCGGAGGAATTAAACACTGAGGCGAAGAGAGAGGAGTCATTGGTTGTTTGGCGCTCCTGCCCTCTCCTCCTCCTCCTCCTCTTCCTCTTCATCCTCCTCATCCAGCGACACCACCCCAGAGGAGGCCACGTCGGAGACCCTCCTGCGCGGGTCGTAGGCAGGAGGGTACTCCACCCCATTCCCCTGCGCCTCCACCTGGCACACGGTGTTCTCGTAGTCCTTGCAGGAGGTGTCGTCGTCCTCGCCCGGCGACAGGTACGTCTCAGAGTAAGACATGGAGTAGCAGGGAGAGTCCTGACCCCCGCAGGGCCTGATGCCCCGCCCTCCTCCACCCAGGCTGTGGAAGACGCAGTCCCCGCCGCCGGGCCCGCTCTGCCCCGCCCTCTGAAGTCGCGCCAACAGCTCCTCCCCTCCCTGCAGCGCCGACAGGATCTTTGCGGCGAGCTCGGCGACGTTGCTGTGGGAGTGGGTGCCGCGGTGGCCGCCCAGGTCACGCAGCAGCGGGTGGTGCTCGTCCAGGCTGCAGAGGCTGGAGCACAGGGTGTCCGGGGAGCCTGCCGTTGGGGAGGGCTCTCCGCTGCCGCTTCCCTCTCCGCCGCTGCCGCTTCCCTCTCCGCCGCTGCCGCCTCCGCTCTCGCAACAGGGCCCCCGCAGGCCAAGGTGTTGGCAAAGCTGGCTGTGGATCAGGTCCTTCAAGTACGGAGGGTACGACGGCACATCTAGAGGGAATGATACAGACTGTGAACATGAAGTCTTGAAGGAAGAAGAACAACGATAAGAGAAGAAATATGAGAGGGAACGGTTTTCTGCATGGACACTGAGAGTGAGTGAGCATCAGGTATTTATAATCTCACTGTACATGTAGCCACAACTGAAAAAACGTCACTCTTCCTAGTCATTATTTACACGTTTACTCATTTAAAGGTACCCTGTGGAGATTTTTACCACTCCTGGTCCTACAGAGCAACATTTTGATGAGCGGGTCTCAGTTTTGTTTGTATCTCAGGTTTGACTAACACATGCACCTGCCAACAGCTCCCTGCTCCTCCACTGACTGATAGTTGGCAGCAGCACATGGCAGAAAAAAGAAGCCGACTATTTGGAAAACACGGACGTAAACAAAGCGGGAAGGGATGTCATTCAACATGTTTGTTAGGCCTCAAATGTGCTCACAGTCCTGCACAGGTCCCGTACCCAAAAGCTGCAGAATCCAGCTCCAGCTGCAGAACCGACCTGTTACCTGCAATTATCTCTAACTCAAATCCTGCGACACGACCTGCACCTATCATCAGTTAAAAACCCATCCTTACATGGGGCTTGCATGAAGACTGACAGCTGCTCTCTCAGTTCTGAACTAATGATGAATTGTGTCGCAAGAACTCGACGGTTAATGAGGCTTATTCAACTGGTTGAGATGTATTTTCATTTGTATTTTCTGTTTAATTATTTCTCCCCGCCCACATTTAGGTGATCTTTACCTTTACCTGTACCCGTGAATGAATATAAACATTGTTTTTTTTTAACCCATTACGCATCATTTTTGTGGGTTACCTATGGGCACCTGACCTGGTGCAGGAGCCACAGGGAACCTTTAACAAGAATAATTTTGTGCTGGATTTTTTTTAAGTTTCCACTGCTAAAAGAAAATATAAATAAAAATATCATTAATTCATAATTAATACTATTTTAGGAAGAAAAATATCATATTGAAGTATCATTGCATTTACTGTAGTCACTAACAGAGTCTGCAGCTGGATGTGTTAAGTAAGAATGCCAATTAGATGAATGAAAAAGTCCTAATTTATTAGTTTTAAAAATACCAGCAGTGGAAAATGATAGGAAAAAGAAAAAGCAGTTAATAAGAATAAAAAATATGACATTGTACCTCAAGTATAAGATTTGTTTTGTGACATACAGTAGAAAAATGCAAAAATATCAACATATTAGTAACAAATCAAACAACTTAATACAACAATACAAAGAAACCAGCTGCAAATTCAAAATGTGATGACGTCTACTGTCAGTTTCTACATTATGTGTCCACAACAGCACTGAAGGTCAAAATCTACGTGGCAGCACAGTGAAGAGGAAGCGGGCTTTACAGTCGTATTGACTCTGATCAGGTTTCATGTAGAGTTGATTAATGTCACGGGTTCATGTGAAACTCACTGTTCATTCACTAAATGGTCTTTGCAGAGGGTGAGAAGCTCGAAGGAGAAGGAGATGAACGTTTTGAAGTTACAGCGACACCGCTGTGCTGAATGTTATTAGCTGCTGCTCAGGTTATTGGTGGTTCAGTGTAAACAAAATGAAAGCACACACACACACACACACACACACGGTTAAACACCGTGTATTTATAACCTCCTCACGCACCGTTCTCACACAGACTGTCTCTGCAGCAAAGGAAATGATATTAAACTTGCAGGAGGGATATCAAATTGCGCCAGGGAACAAAAAAAAAAAAATGTCGGGAGAGGATGAAAAGTAGGGCACTGGGACAATGAACGATACAGGGGGAAAGATGGATGAGGAGGAGGGTGTGTGATGGGGTTTTAAGAAGGAAGGGCACAATATGAAGGAAATAAAATATGATTTAGCTTCACCGCGGCTATTACTATGTCGAGGTACAGTGTGTGTGTGTGTGTGTGAGTGCGTTTACCTGTGCTCTGTGTGGTGGGCTCGTTGGCAGGCAGAAAGTCTTCATCATATGAGTCATCATTGGACTCGTCGCCATCCACAGATGACCAGGCTCTCAGCTTAGCCTCCGCGATGGCGAACTGCTCTGCCACACCTTCAAAAAACACACACACACACGCACACACATTATATATACAACACACATGAGTTGCACGTGTACGCAATCAAATACACGGTTGGCATGGTAACAAGAACACAGAGCAGAGCCGATGTGTGTCTCCATGTCATGTCGCTCTTTTTGATTGGCAGCGTGCACAGCGTAGTGTTAGGCCGGTCGGAGAGACAGCGTTCCCATTACAGCCAGTGTTGTTCAGCAGTCATTTGGCTGGTGCACTTAAGATGGCTGTCACTGAGTGTTTGATAGTGTTTGTTATGCAGGTTGTAATTCCTGTGGGTGCAGAGGAGACACTAAGTTGGAAGAAGCACAAGACAAATATCTGAATGTCAAAGGAAACACCGAGAGAAAAACACTCCTTACTGAAAATCGTTTTAAAACACATTTCAAAAAATATCTTTTATCTAAATTGAATTTTGTGTGACTGGGTGTGTATTACTTCTCTAGAACATTTCAAGTCTTTATTATTAATCCATCTCATCTCTATGTTCATTTTATGTCTTTTCATGTGAAGCACTTGGTGCAAGTCATTTCTTTGTTGTGAAGCACTTTGTGCTACATTTCTTGTTTGAAAGGTTGAAAAGATTATTATTATTTAATATTATTGTTATTTTAGATATTTTCTCTTTTCTACTCTACGTGACTTTTTGTATATTTGATGATGTATTGCTTTATGTGGTATGTTTTTAATGACTGGTTGAAATGTTTCCTTCCTCTCCTGCACTATTTGTAGATCTTTTATTGTGTAATGTCTTACTGTAACTTTCTGTGCAAATAAATAAACTAAAAGAAAGTGCAGGTAAAAAACCAAACATTGAGTGTGGTGGAATTACCTGTAGACTAATGGCTCACATGGTGAGTTCAGCATGATGCACATTTCTGGAGCAACAATTCCATCAACACAACGGATCAATACTATTCTCACCACCCTGCTACTATCAGATTGTTTTGGTTTTTTTTAAACAGAAATGCTTAAAGTCTACTGATAAAGACTGGAATAAAATGACTTTTAATTTGAAAAAAAAAAACGCAGGAAGTGTTGAATTTCATCTATAGTAGCTTATCATCAATCAAGAGAGAAGGCAAATTAATGACAGAATGCAAAATGAATGAACACACATTGTCGTGTGTGTGTGTGTGTGTGACCCAATGTGTGTGAGAAACAGTAAGAATTAGGAATAAAAGCCAGACTCTTTGCACCTGATGTGCATAAAGGCCCCAGACAGTACTTGAGAAGTTTCAGTGCTTGAGGTTTTATTTTGTGTGTGAATGTAAAACCACTTCAGCTGCTTTTTGTCGCTCTACATGCGTCCATATTGCAGCACAATCCTGTAAACAATAGCAAATTCAGGTCAGCTACTAAAACCTGGATTTTCAAATCACAATCCTTGCAGATTTTTACAGTGGTTATATGTTTATTTGCCCATAATGATAACTCCAAAGAGAGGACATCACTGTCTGTATTGTTTGGTTGAGGTGACTCAGCATGTGCCAGAACCAGTAAGCCACAAGGTCCAAGTGACCAATCACCTCCAATTATCGTCAGCAGCTGACCAATCAGAGTCCCGCTCTCTCTCTCTCTCTCTCTTTTTCCCCTTCATCTCCCTGCTTGCCCTCTTCCTCTCAATCCATCTGTTTTGTATTCCTCCCTATTCATCCGCTCTCTCTCCTTCACGTCCTGCCTTTCTTCCAGTCGTCTCTCTCAATAAAACGCTCTATCGACTCACCTCCCTCTCCCCTCCTGTTCCTACCATTCCCTTTTCTTTCACCGAGCAATCTTTCAGCCTTGTCCCTCACTTCTCATTTTGATTTCTATCTCTCTGACTCTCTCTCTCTCTCTCTCTCTGACTCTGTCTCTGGTTATTGCTCAGTATTCATGTGTTGTCTCCCACGGGTGAGATCGATGCTCTCATTCATCCTTCACTGTAGCTGGGCCCTGAACTCTCCTCACAGACACTGGCACATCTTCTAGCGAATGCTTCTCTGAAGTTCTCCTTTGAAAGCTTATTTTTTTTAACTCAGGAAGAAAGAGCGTTTTCACCCACATACATACTTTTTTTATGTCACTGACCCACATACCCACAAAAATGCCTTAAATTGGGATAAAGAGATGGTGCAGATAAACACACACTCAAATCTACGTTCTTGTTCTTCTGTGTGATCGACCCTAAAATCATTCCCAGCAACATTGAGGAGGTGACCTTGTTTAATACCAATCATAAGAATATTTCTTAACAACATCATCTGATGGCAAAATACAAGCTAAAATATATTTTGCTTGAAATCAGAGTAAATATCTTAATGCTACAAAAAAAAAAGAAAAATACGAAAGTGCCAGGTTTTATATTTAAGTAAAATGTTAACTAATGCAGAAGATCTCGCCTTGTTGAGAATTTACTTGAGACTGATGTTCAAGCAGAGACTCGTGCGGTTTGGAGGCAGAGAGGTTATTTTCTGTAGACGCTACAATTTACTGTCGTTCCCTAAACGCCTCATGCGCAGGCTATTGGTAGATGCTAGCTAGGTGGCTATGCACAGAAAAGCCTGTCGTCCCCATTCAGTTATTACAGCGAATGCAACTCAAACAGGCGTGTTAGTTAGTTTGAAAAGAGTGAAATAATGTTTATAATTCTAATGTATTATTCAACTGTTCTCATCTGATGAATAAAAGTCTGATAATTACTCATCGTTTAATGATTTTTGAGAGGAACTGCAGGGCTGAGCGATCATTTTCTGCAGGTTTGTCACTACGGGTAACCCCCTTTCACATTACACACAGATATGAGATCTGTTTCTAGTAAAAAAAAAATATTGATTACAGGCGCTTTAAGAAAAACTGAGGCAGTTTCATTATTGTGCCAGTTCCCAGTTTTTACTACCCAACAGGCTTGTCTGCTGCTGGGATGGTGTAAACCTGATGAGAAAGATGTTTGAAAGAAATTTGCAGTGTCACAGCAGCAAAGTACAAGAAAGAAAAACTGCAAAATGCCAGTAACAAAAGATAAATAATAGATAATAATATAATAAATACAATTCAATATTTGCAAAAATTTACAAAATAGCAGCACAGTGACATGAGCCTCTCTGTGTGTCGGTCAAGGCTGGGAGGCAGTTTCATGCGGTACAGAGAGACACTGCAGCGTTACAAAAATGTGTGTGTGTGTGTGTGTGTGTGTATGTGTTGGCAGAAGTCAGTCTGTCAATAGGACAACCACACCTGCAATTTCAATTCTGAGGATGGCCCCTACACTCTCACACACACACACACACACACACACACATCGGCGTGTTCTACTGTAACCAGATTTTATACACATCAAAGATTCACTTCACACATTCGAACACGCTCGCTTGATGTGCTAACACGCTCGCTGACATTCACGCAGTGCGTCCAGTCACCCGCAGGAACACTGTCACCGTTACAAGGAGACAGTTGACAAAAATAAAAAGGAGTCAGCACAAGTGGCAGTTCCCTGATGGGGGTCGGTGCACGGTGATGATGTAAGCAGATGAGACAAGGAGAACTACATAATGTATAGCAATAACTCCCCAGGATTACACCCTGTTTTTGTGCCTTTTACAAACATACAATGTATGACATGAATGACCAGGTTTAAACTGTCCTAAAAAACCATCTATGATACTCAATATCTATTTAAAGAATATACGAATTGCTTGATTTAAAAGAAATTTGACGAATCATTTTGGGTACTTTGAACTTTGTCAGCTTAATAAATTGGCTTGTTTGAATCATCATTACAGTCGCACATCGCCAAAGAGCACTGAAATGGATCTTAAAGAAGAGAAGGCCTGGAAATAGTAAGATAAAAGAGAGGACAGAAGAAAAGGAAGGAGAACGGAGGAGGCACAGAGGAAAATCGCTCAGTCATGGTGGCACTAGCCAGGAGCAAAACCTTACTGTGCAAATTAACCTTGAGAGTCTGCATTGCAGGGAGCGAGCGAGAGAACGGAGGGAGAGCGGGCAGGAGGGACGGGGGTGAAAAAGAGTGAATAAAAGGGGAGATAAAGAGACGGGCAGAGAGGAATATTAAAAGAGGGGACAATGTGAATGGGAGAGAGGAGGAAATGAATCGAGGGCAGGGCAGGAGTGAATGAAAGAAAAGTAAAAGATGGAGTGAGTGAGTAAAAGATAAAGGAGACGGATGAGCTGAGGAACAAAACATCTGTGTATGAAAAGAGTTAAGAGCAACAAAAATGAAACGTCCCATTCACACCCAGGTGGACAGGTGGACGGGACGAGTCAGCCCGGTCCAGTAACGCCGCTGTGTGGGCTCTACTTGTTTTTGCCTTTGACAAGGAAGTGATCGTCCAAAGTTTTCTGACATGCAGCGTGAAAGGTAGACACAAGGGCGTTTGGCTGAGGACGGTAGGGACATGTCTCTCCCAATAGTTTCGGAGGACAGAATTGTCCCTACAGATATTTGAGCGAACTTGTTCGCATTAAGTTTGGAGGGAAGTCATATCAGATCATTCCGATAATGTCCTCCCTTTGATTGGCCGAGACTATCTGGAGGCTCACGTCATGTACAAATATCGCACTCAGTGTCAGTCCAGAGATAGTAGTAGGTAGGTAGGTAGTAAACTAACCAGCCAGCACTCACTGGGATTTAAAATGACCTTACATTATTAAATTGTACTGATGCATCAGTTGATTATCAGCATTTTACTGTTGTAGCTGGTCAAGGTGGAGCTAGTTTTAAATGTGAAATCAAGGGAAACTGCAGCGATGGTGGATCTACAGAGTATAAACATGTTGATGTTGGATGCAAAAATATTGTTTGATTTTTCTCTTTTCGATTAACGAGTAATTTCCTGAAGTTTACTTTCTTTTAATCTTTGATCTGTTACTATGTATAGTTTTTTTTTTAAATGTAAATACGGTCGATATGTCGATATGGAAACCACTCGGTTGACAGCATAAAAAAAAGTCATCTTTGTTTTGGAGGGGTTGTTGTGTCCTTATCAATGTTTCGACCAAAACCTACACGCTTGGGTAGACATGAGGTTAAAAGACCTTTCGACTTCCTGGATGGACTTTTTTCTTAAAGGGACAGTGCACATATGTCGAAATCAGTTCATCAAAACTCCGCCTGTAAACAGCTGAATAATGTTTTCTGTGGTGCTAGAGAAAATAACCTTGATGGTGTCGTGGTGGTGGAGTTTGAAAGATGTGGATTTGCATTATGATAACTGTAGACACTGTTTTGGAGCATACTCGTGAATAAAAGGACATTTTAGGATTTGCTGTTTTGATTCTTTTTAAATCTGTATCTTGTGAGGCCCCCAACTTTGTGGAAGGGCATTACTAAATTAATGAAGAGTCTGGCAGATCCAATAGCTTTCCATGGGCTAATCATTCTGTGTGCATTTACACCTTGAATTAATGTATTCTCCTCCATCCAGATAAGCTGTCAAACGTGCATGTTTAAAACAGCTTGAAATGGGGAATGAAAGTATTTTTTTCTGATATGATTTCTGAAACTGTGTTAATATGATTTTACAGTCTGCCACTGTAAATTATGAAAAAACCGAGCTTGTTTGAGGCTAAATTCTGCGCATCCATGTCTGTAAAAGGCTTGCTGGGAAGAGTTTTCCTTTAATTATCTCAGTATTTTTAACATCTTGATTGTAACCGACTGGAATTAATGACCAGATAAATATTCATCTGCTCCTTTTTAAACATGTTCAGCTTTTTGTTATGATGGTTTTCCATTTAATTAGGATCCCGTCTGTGATCTTTCATCATTAATTCACACATTTTTCCAAAGCCCTCTTGCCCTAGGTGTGTGAATCATCTCTTCAGTGCGTTTGTTGTCAACTGGCCTGTGCACATACAAAAAAAAAACTCTCTTTCATATTGAACTTGGGAGTGTAGCACAGCGGGGTGTTTTAATATTTATGTAATAAACAAATCCCACACACAGTCAACAGAAGTCTTACCAGCAGCGAAGCGTGCCTCCTGTTCTCCCTCGGTGAGGTCAGAGTAAGAGTTGAAGTCTGATTCGAGGGCTGCTGGAGTGTCTATAGGCTTACACCAGCCTTTCCACTCTATCAGGTGGGCTACTCTGCCCTGCGCCATCGCTGTAGGCTTTGTCACATGGTCCTTCACTACCTGGGAGATTCCTACAAGGCAAACATAAGGGGTTAGGCTACAGCATAACCTTGAAATGTGTGCGCATTCACAGTGGGGTCAAAAAGTCTGTATGTTAAGTGCAAATGTTTTATTACTCACCATGCAGGGAGGATCGCGCTAATGCAGCAATCTCTTGAATGGTAAGAGCTCTTCTTGATTTTGGTAACATTTCAATGGTGTCATCAACATTCACCTGCAATCACAATAAAAAAAAAACAAAAAAAATGAGTGTGACTCTCTGGAAAACATATTCGTGAGCTGATGTCAGCATGAATGAGAGCCAGCCTCAGTCTGAATACATCCTGCCATCACTCACTGGAAAAACCCAGCGTTGTCTTTTGATGGAGGAGGAACTTCAACTACTTCAGTGCACCTCAAGGCCTTGGAAATCGAAGGTTTTTTTCTCTTTACACACCAATACATGTTTTAATAAGTCACAAGCTGTATGCCAACAACACACACGTGCATCCATGTGCATGCATACATGCACAGAGCTGGACTGAGAAATGCATCTGCAGCCACTCATAAGTCGTGTAATCGATGTATGTAGTGCAGCATATTAAAAGGTTAAAAACAATTATGACCTAACATCTGATTGATATATTATTTTATGCAGAAGTGTAGAAACGAATATCTAAAAAGCCAACAACAACAAGAAGAAGTGCAGCGATACTGGTGGCTAGTTGTAGCCACATGTTTGCTGTCGTGGTTTGTTAAATTAGCCCGCTGGCTAATTAGCAAACTAATAGCTTGTTCAGGTAACTGAACTGACCCTCCTCAAACTGCAGCTCAGCGTTTTTTGCTGCAACTACGGCTGCAGAGAAGGACGCATAAAAAGAAAAAGAAGTACATCTTTGGTTCTAGTTCGGTTGCTGTATATTTGCACATTATCTGAACATAGCACAGTCGACCTCTGGCGCCAGATGTGGATGTTAGGATATTGTTGATGCATCTGCAAATATTGAGTTAATTATAAAAAGAAAACTTCTCCAAAGAAGAGTAATAACGCTCTGTGCCCACACGGCTAGATAGGTTATTTCCTTGGTAAACAGAACCAGACAGAAGGCGAGAGATGGACCCCCTCCTCTTTGTGTCTGTCCATCAAATCTGTCTGCACTGTAAAGTCAAACCACAGAGGGAGTATCAGGTGTTGACAAGTTCCTTTGTCTACTAACCCTTTTTATAGCTCTACCTGTACCTCACGTGGGAAACAGGGCACGTCAACAGCAAAGGCCGCACGCAGAGCTGACGCTACCGTGTTGTTACTCAATATGGGTCAACACACACGGCTGACTGAGCGGTTTGATGACGGATTTAGGCAGACGAGTGTCTCTCAACAGGTACAGATTGTGTCCAGTCGCGTGGCGGTGACGGATCGCAGCTCTCCGACGCTCTAGTTTCACCTGTTTTCATTCAGACAAACATCACACGCCGAGCTACTTGCGACTGAACAAATAGTAAACATAATATGTATTTAGATTGTTAAGTCTCGCCTTTCTGTATTTCTCCTTTTCATCATTTCAGCCCACGCTTGATTGCAGTTAGCTCATCCCAGAAGCATCACCCTGACCTTGTCCTGCCAAATCCATTTAACAGCAACAAAACACCAAGCAAATAAATAAAATAAAAAAATAAAAACAAACAAACAAAAAAATTATCCGTGAGAAAGGCTATGCAAGAGGGAAGGGGGATCCCGGGCTTACGATGGCATCAGCGGCTGCCGCGAGGCGTGATAATCCTCTTGTGCCACAGAGCAGCTCACAGATCAGAGGGAGGATAATCTGCTGGAGATGTGACATAGACCCTCGAGGAGTGTTAGAGTGATATATTGTTTTGGCTTCATTGTTTTAATAAAAAAAATCATAATATCAGGCAGGTATTGTTGTTGGTCCCCCCCCACCCCCCCATCACATCCAGTGGTTATATAAACGGTATTTCAGGGACATTTCTATTCAGACAAGAACAAAATTTGGAAAGACAGCGTGTCATTTCCTGGAGCTTGGAAAGCACAGTATTTTAGGCGTGAATCAGTATGAGCTTTTGAGAAACCTTGCGCTCGAGCATCACCGCGCCACAACACCGCTGGCTGCCGACTCTGCTCCTTCATTCACCCCCTCCCCTCTCCGCTCCCCCACTGCCCTACTGAACAAGCAGAGCGAACACAGAGGAGGACGTGAGCGTTACTCAGAACAGCCCGAGCGCTTCAAATGAAAACCACTGTGTCACATCTTTCCCATCACACGTACACAGACCGAGCTGAAGACTTGAATTTAAAAAGCTAAATATCCCAAACTAGCGCACGTGGCACACTCATCTAGATACCTGGCCCTCATAAGAAGAAAAGCTGCACAAATCCAAACACACCACCTGATGTCAAGAGGCCATAAATCTTCATGGTCTGCTGAACGCAGACAGTGGAGAGGCTGTTGTGATGCTGCTCAGGTTCACGTTTGGCTTTTGAATCATTGGTTAACTGTTTGTCTCCATCAGTGAGTGAGTGAGTGAGTGAGTGAGTGAGTGAGGTGGACAAACACGGCCTGGAGACAACGCAGAGAAAAACACAGCAGATCCTTCAACACAATGCACCTGCTAGGAGTGGAGAGCAAGGCAGGCCGCAGGCTGACAGCAGGTGACTGGTGTCTCCCTGTCTGCATCACCTTGAAACCAGCACACACACACGAAAGCACACTTCGAGGATTTTATCAGTTGTGTGTGTGTGTGTGTGTGTGTGTGTGTGTTTCAGGATTAAATCATGATTTAGATTTCTAAGTTAAATAGACGGCCACAAGGCTTTTTAGGTGTTGTTATATCACTTGGAAAACAAATGTTAGTGCTCTGGCAAAAATCCTTTTTGTTACTGTTCAGCCTCAAAACAACGCCACAGGTTTCCTCAGTGGCTAAGATGTATTTTCTATTTATGCTCTAATTAAGGTTACGTCACAGGAAAGATCTAACTTGAGCTGAGACGAATCCCCTTTCTCTTATTCATCAAACGTCAACTGCAAAACACAACAGCCTGTTGCATGCATTGCTCTTTCAGTTCAAACGCAAGCACACACACACACACACACACACACACACACGGAATTCATTATACCAAACTGAACAAGGGGGCGAGCCATGAATGGTTTAAGTGGAACAGACCGGCGTGATATCTGCTTCCCGTGGTGGAAAATAACCTGAACATCCTTCTTCTTTGACATGCCACGTTTCTGCATCCATCCCTCTCTCTCTCTCTCTCTCTCTCTCTCTCTCAAGTTTTCCACAATGGGAACATTTCTATGGCAACCGGTCGCCATGTAACAATTCCTCCCGGTAAGCCTGCGAGCTTGAATCGCTGATGATGTCACACACTCAGAAGACCAACCGACGGCCACAGCAGCCAAATTAATGAGACTTGCACGTGCCCTCCTGCGTTTACTTACTGTGGACGCTGCTGCTCGAAGATGCTACGTCTGACACGGGCGTCATGGATGAGGCTCTTTGCATCATCGCAGCCAAATTTAATCTCACTTGTTGCATTATAAAAGACAACAATAATTTGAATTATTTGCTGATACAAAATCTGACCTTTATGTATCTTTTTTTTTGAGGGGGGGGGGTTTCTTGAAGTGCAAAGCATTAGAGAGCCCTTCCTCTTTAAAAGAGATTTGATAAGATCAGCAGTCCAGCCAACCTGTCTCTCACCACGGTGAGTATTCAATAACAGCTCTCGTCCGTGAGGACCGAGAGGCTGCATTTCATAATGGATCACTTAGGCGCTGCTAATCGTCACCTCTCTGGCTCGCTGCGACACATCAGATTCACACCCAGATGGTGCGCCTGATGGATGGATAAAAGGAGGCAAGGTGGATTCATCATCCTCATTACCTTCATTATCATCATCATCTCTGAGACAATTATAAGCGTCCTATTACCTTAAGAATATTTTTTGCCTTAAGGTCCAGAGATTCTACATATACATACAGTAGGATATAGGCCTTCATGTAGATTTAAAAGTAATTTTCTAAACTGACAAACCTGTGGGCTTCTTAGGTTTTGATGGTTCTTTGTAGAGCCCTCACACTAACCAAAAAGCCATTTAAGCCCTTTCTATTATATATATCTTGCTAAATCATTGCTACGACAAGCTATCAGGGGGGCTCCTTCCAATCTTTGGAGCAGGATATCCTGTTAGTCCACCTAAATCTGCATTTAACAGGCCAGAAACCAGCAGAAAGGAACATGTGTCTGCAGGCTTGTGACTTAAAATGAAAATTTAGGTAGCTGACAGTAAGTCTCACTGACCACACCTTTCAAGAAGAACTTTCATTTTACATTTTGTCCAAAGGCGAGAAGCATTACATTCTGTATCACATGAGATTCCATTCATTTAAAATCCTAAATTAAAAATTAATTGTTAATTAGGCTGAATGACTTGCAAATAATTAGAGACCAACTGGTTAACACTAATGAAAACTAAAATGGAGAAAGAACTCAAGAGTTGAAACACACATTAAAGACTTGGATGGCTTGATTAATAAGGTAATTATCAAACCAGGAAGGGTTGAGAAAATAATTTTCTGCTTCACGTGGCGCATTACATTTCAGACTGTCAGCATTGATTAGCCATATCTGCTAGGTGCCTACCTAGGTTTTGGTGCACTGGGCTGCTTGTAGCCTGGCTCAAATCATGTGAGGTGATGTATGCAGAACATCCCATAATTCACGTAACGATAAAAACTAATATCCATAGAGTATTTAATTCCTCACAGTTAGCCAACTGGAATTGACTTTTCCATACACAATAATTAAAACAATAGTCCGGGCTGATTTAAATATCCAGCGTACTTATTTATAACTTATGTGACCACATATTATGGCTGAAACTGAATTATTTAGCAATTATTTAGAATACGACTAATAACAATAATATTGATGATGTTTAGATTCCACAATAGGGGATTGATAAATTAGCTTATTTACTATATGGAGCATATAAGCTTTGTATAGACCTACCCAAGGTGCTTTAAATTTGTTATATAGGCCTATACAGTAGTCTGTTTTCCTATAGTGTCCTTTTACTAACCATTACTGTAGATTAAAGGGTCACAACAGCAACACTTGTAATAACAACTTTATTGTTTTTTTCATAGTAAAGTTGTCTTTACATAATGTGTTTTACTGGAGTTGTGCCAGAATTCATAAATCTCA